CTTGGTGTTTCATCTATGGTTATTGGACCAGGACTTCCATAGAGATCCATTTCACTGTTAAAATGACTAAAATCCTGGTTGAAAGGTTTGGACTAGACTTAAATCAGCTATTGTCATATAGCAATAATAGAGCAAATAATAGACTCTTATTTAAATACTCTGTTTTGTTATCCATGGTCACATGAAAAACTACTCCCAAACAACCATTTTATTCATAATTTCATGGGTCAGAATTTCAGATTTAGAATATTGGGTCTGGCTTCCCTCTGCTCCATGATGTCTGGGGCCTTAGCCTGTTTGGCTTGAATGGCTGGGAACCAGCTGCAATGGGCTGGAGCAGAGTCATATGTCTGGAACTTCAGTTATGGCTGTTGGCTGGGTTCCTCGGTTTTCCATGGGGCCTCTCTGTGAGGCTAGCCTAGACTTCCTCCCAGCGTGGTGGTCTCAGGGTAAATGAGCTTCTCATATGGCACCTGGCTTCCTAGAGGGAAATTCTAAGAAGATATAAGCCCCAATGTGTAAGCATTTATTAAACCTCTGCTTGTGTCTTGCTTGCTGATGTTCCATTGGCCAAATCAAGTCACAGAGTCAAGCTCAGCATCTGTGTGGGAAAGACTACAGAAAGGCCTGAGACCTGGTGGTGTGGGTTCACTGGGGCCACCAGTATCTACTACATGGCCAGAAAATGATGCTATTATTTAGTATCCATTTTCTATTGTGAAAGGCTACATGGGTGTATATGTAACTATGGTACAGCGTTGCTTAATGTCCATAAAATGTATTTTTAGAATTATGTTATTTTTTATCCCAAAGAAATGGTATGCTATATCCTTTGACACAAGGTAAACTTTAAAAAATCTCCATGCTACATAAAGCTGTAATTAAATAATTTATATGTAAGACCATCTGTACAGAAAAGAAAAAAATTCCAACCTTACCTAGTGCCTATTGCAGGCTTACTTTTCTGTGGCAATTATTGGCATTTTTACAAATTGGTTCTAGCTTAAAAGCTCATACCTTAATTATTTTGGTTTTTCAATCATTCATACATTTAGGATTATTATTTTTAATTTGCTATGAGTTTTAAAAATTATATGGTGCTTTTTTCAATTCTGATGTTTCCGTATGTCAGGGATGCTACATATAGGTAAGAATGAGATCTGAGTCCCAGGAGAGCTGGGCTAACCTTTCTAGACTTTAGCTTCCTCATCTCTTTAACAAGAGGGTTCAATCAATTGATTGCGTTTTCTTCTAATGCTACTATTTTTTTGTTCGGACTCTGTGTGATGCCTGATTAACTATTAGAGAAATGTAAAATATGCTTTGGGAAATACTAAAACAATCTGATATTACCTTAAGAAAGGATTTACTTAGGTGTTCCTGAAATTAAATTTTTTAGTCACTTGGCTTAGGGATGTTTTCCCCATGAATCTCTTACCTGCATATGTTACTATTTTGCTTTGCTATATAAAAAAAATGTAAGAGGTAAAGGAAATGAAGAAGCTAAAGTAACACGGCAAATTTTCATTATAGAAACGCATTATAGGAGCATAACACTCTGGGGAAATATTTGATTAAGCAACGGAAAGGGATTTTACTAAGATTATGTGGAAGTAAGTTTGCCGAGTTTTGTGAAATACATTTTAGTATTTGTCTTACCTTTAAGTTTTTATTCAGCTATCCTTCCTGGAAGGACCTTCCAATCTGGTAAAATGAAACTCTATCTTCACAAGCATTTGGAAGCTTTTATTTTTCTATTAGCTGTCATTCATTCTTATGAGAGTATTCAACAATTAGTAATATGGGAAACGTACAAACAAATACAGAAGTACTCACCTGAAGCTACAGAAGCAGTAGGTTCTCAACCTTGTCTATATGTTGTAATTACTTGGGGATCTTTCGAATGTAGTGATGCCTGGGTCCCAACCTTCTAAAACCATGATTTAATTGATCTATAATGGCCTGGCCATTAGAATTTTTAAATCTCCCCAGAAGATCCTGAAATGCAGCCGAGTTTGAGAACCTCTACCCTAGAGAAACTTTCTTGGATCTCTTGCTCTTACCATTTTTTCCCTACAGTCCTTGCACTCTTCTCAACTTTACGACCAACATACAATTGCTACATTGCTCCATAATGAATTTTTATAAGTTTAGTTCCCAATTTCACACATGGTTAACAGGGTAGGTGTATAAGAGTATTATTGGAAAAATAAACCTTTAGTAAAGGCATGTATTCCATTGGATGGACACGTATTAGATGGATCTATCCACTCAACCATGTTATGGTACTGTTGGAAAATATGTTGCCATAAATATTAAATTCCAAAGTAATAATATTTTGTATCTCTCTGGGTTAGCCAACTATCTGTTTAGTTGGGTCTTGGGTAATGCAATAGGTGCTATTTGCTCAAAATGTTTCTGGAATGAAAACAATGTAACTTACTGCCAACTCCTTTATGTGGTTTGGGTGTGTGTTGGTCAAAACCAAACACAAATGAAAACTTCTGTGGTTAGTAACTCACCTAAACATGCAGGCACTAATCAATTTGTAATGGGTATTTTGAAATATTTTTGGGATGATTTAGATGCAGGGGAGAAGTTATTCTATGTTGCCCTGCATATAATTGTCTTTTTTTTATTTTAAGATTACTTATTTATTTGAGAGAGAGAGAGAGTGAGTGGGGGGAGGTGTAGAGGGAGAAGAAAAGGGAGAGAATCTCCAGCAGACTCCATGCTGAGCATGGAGCCTGACATGGGGCTCGATCCCACGACCCTGAGATCATAACCTGAGCTGAAACCAAGAGTCAGATGCTCAACCAGCTGAGCTACTCAGGTGCCCCACCAATGTCTCTTTATTCAGGCAAAGGGTTTAATTTTTCTGCTTGTCTCTACTTAGTGAAATAGAGATGGTATGGCCTAAAAAATTCATATATTGAAATCCTAACCCCCACAGGTGATGGCTTTAGTAGGTGAGGCATTTGGAAGGTGCTTAGGTCATAAGGGTAGAGCCCTCATGAATGGGTTTTCTTACAAAAAGAGACCCCAAGATCTCCCTGGCCTTTTTTCCCATTTGAGGACACAAGCTGTGAACCAGGACACAACCATGCTGGTGCCTTGATTTTGAACTTCCCAGCCATCAGGACTGTGAGAAATAAATTTCTGTTGCTTAGAAGCCACCCAGTCTGTGGTATAGTTATAGCTACTTAAATGGACTAAGGCGAGAGCAATTAATTATTAATAGAGTGACCAACCACCCCAGTTTGCCTGGGACTGAGGGGTTTCCTGGGCAAACTGGGATGAATTGATCACCTTAATCGATACAGGGAAAATTAACAACACTTTAAGGATATTTTAGCCCCTTGACTGAAAAATTATTCATTATGTTATAATTTCCTGTTACCAAATCATATATAAATTATGATGGTAAATGGAAGATTAGTGATTATTTTCTGGGCATAGTATTATAACTTTCCCTTCAGCTTATCATATTTTTTTGGATATACTTCAAAATATTTTGCTAGCAATGCTCAAACTTCACCTTGAGAAAATAGGTATATTTAATCCATAATTTCTAGATTTTAAGAAAGAGATAATAGTGTCTAAAATTGCAGAGTGAATTGGTGCTAAAATGGAAAAAAAGTAATTTTTAGGTCTGCCTCGAGACTCTAGTACCCTATTAATGTAAGGAAGTTCTTGTAGTAAAATGAAATAGAAAAAGAGAAATTATGAAGTCTAGTATGAATCCACTCTTGTCCCCCAAAACATCAAATGTCTCCACAGACAAATACTGCACAAAGAAAACTCACTGAAGCTGTTAGTGTATTGGTTATTTTTGAGATTCTTTGAAGTAATCACATAGTACAGATAAATTTATAATTTTACTCCAGAGAATTAGTATATTTCAGTTAAACCAATAACACATTTTTGCAATGATGTGATTATCCTGAGTTCCTTTTGCCTAATTTCAGATTGTTAGGGGTTGGTTTTCCACTCTTTGGGCAATTAAGAATCAGAAACACCAATTAATTGCCTTAAAGGGAAGACCAATTCAGTTTTGACAGATGCCCAGTTCAGAAAATATCAAAAGCAATCCTTTCCAAGAAAGTATTAAAACATAGAAACAAAAAGCACATGGGGCATTGCCAATGTGGTAGATGGTAATGGAACTACATTACACCACTTTTAGATTAATAACTGTTAATGGAGTCAAGAGAGCTGGATCTAGACTAGCAAGGATCCAATGAGTGTTTGAGTAAATGCTTTTATTATTCTGGGCCTCAGTTTATTTGTCTGTAAAATGGGAGAGTTTGACTAGCCTGTGCTTGTGGTCCCTTAAATTGTGAATATCCTATAATTCCATGTACAGCATTGTGATGATGCCTAGAAGATATATGGATTTCTATCTTCCTTTTCTCTAACACTACTCCTCTGTACTAGCCTTGGAACAGTGGCTCACACTGCTATAGTTTGAAAAAAAGGGCATCTTCTTGAGAGGACAGAGGTGCATATTCTCTGTGCTTCAGCCCCTATTCCACCTCAACATAATACTCCCAATCCTAATATTTGCATTTTGGATCTTGGACAAGTCACTTCCCCTTTTAGGGTCTTAGTGTCTGTTTGTAATAAGGATTTTTTTTTTTTTCCTGAATTCCCTTTCCTTAACTTTCTTTTAGGCCCTTAAGGTTATGTATGTATGTATGAATGTGAGCTAGAATACTTTTTGGTCATCTCACATTCTCAGTGAAACTTTCTAGGCCTCCCCTCCTCTGTTTCCCCCCCTTCCTGTTGGCAGAGGTCTGGAGAGCCTCATGAGCCACATCTTTTCCCTAGGTTGCATGGCTGCAAGGTAGTAATTCTGCCCAGCGTTTGGCTGCTGCAGACATGTTCAAAGCATTAAGGTCCCTTTCTTTCATGGACAATGCCCTGAGAATCCCTTGTTAGGATGAGACCTTGATATAAAAATGACATGAATATGATGTGATATAAACAAAGACATGATGCAGCTGGTATAGAGTTTTATTGGCTACAAAACAGATATGTAGTGGTGGCAATCTGAAGATTGTAGTAGAAAAGTAGAGCTTTAAAAAGCTCATGAACTCATACTTTGATTCAAAAAGTGCAGCAATATATTAAGATCATTATGGAATGTCTGGTGAGATTGTTACAGAGAAAAAAAATAAGTTTCTGAGTTTGATAACTCCAAGGATACATCTTAGGGCTCACCCATTTGTGTCTGGGCAAGGATTTCCACTGGAGAAAAGTAGTTCTTACAATAGGCAGAAATTTTATTGGCCTTATGCACACTTTTGGATCTCATTCACTTGAGAAAGAATTATTCTTCCATTGACACTCTCCTGTGTGATGGCCTTGATCTTTGGAGCTGAGGGAAAAACCAATGAAGAGGTCACTGCCATGCTTCTCCCACCATCTGAAATACTCATTTTTTGTTCCCTGCTCTCAGTACCTGAAGCTCCGCTGTCCCTTCCAAAATGATCACTCAGCAATATGGCAGGCTCTGCTGGAGTGAAGAGATCTCCCCAAGGAAGGTTTTTCCTCCTACCCTCCAGGAAATGAGGGTGTGTGAATAGTGTCGTCTTCTAGAGGCCAAGATCTGCATCCTAGGCTTGCCTGATACAGAATCAAGGCTCTAACTACATATACTTGAGGAGGACTTCCTGCTTAGGCAGGCTTTATTGTGCTTGTACCACAGATTCTGTGAGCTAACAGAGCACTCAACACTATTCTGGGCACCTCATTTAAAGATATAGAAAGCACATAGGATGTGTGAGAAGCCAGGGATGTTTATCATGGTCACTGTTTTCAAAGTTATGGTTTATTTGAATGTGTTTTGTCGACACACCAGGACACTGATTCAGACCAAAGGGAAGACTTGACATTAAGAGAGATACAGGGAGAACTTTGTTAAAATCAAACCTCTCCAACAGTAGATTGGGCCGTTCCTTCAAGTAATGGGTTCCCCATTCCTGGACATGCATAAGGAGAGGTTGAAGGACCATTTGTCCATATCTCACAGAGGGGTAGCAGTTAGACCAGCTGTTTGTGATGGTGCCTGGAACCCTGATTCTCTGAATCTCTAATGCCTTACAACACTTTTACCACAAACTAATCAGAAAAGTGCCACTCGTCCCAGACTGTGGTTTCTTAGAACTTCTCCATGAGATGTTAAAGAAAATCTGAGAAAGTAGGGTTCCCAGGTCAAAGACATTTGGTGACACCGAGTTAAGCAAAATAAAACTTTTGATGTTTCTTTCTCTTTCCTCTTCCTTTTCTTCCTCACAGCAGTGCCTGGTCCATCTTTAACTTACTGAAATGCATGACTGTTCATGAAGACGGTAGTGGGACCTAGTATTTCAACCATTTCTGGCCATGGGACACATCTTTCCGTAACACACAATTAAAGTCTTATGGACACTAATGTTCAACAGAATGTAGTTTGGGATATTATGTGAAATCATTTTCTTGTAATCTCCTAGGAGTTTAGTAAACAGACTCCATAACTTAACAGAGATCTAATAGTATGAATGATCATTGCTATCTACTCTACTGCTGGCAGAGAACTTGCATATATATTATTGAAGACAATACTGAGAGCTCACTTTTCTCTTTTTTATCTAATTTAATTCAAAATTCCTGGCCATCTGGGAGTAAAATAAAAATCGAACACAGGATATTTGTACACTAAGTACACTAAGTACATTTAGTACACTAAGGATTATGAGTACTATAGAATGAATAAACATGTTGATTCATTTTTAAAAAGTAGATTCAAACAGTGAAATATTTTTTTTTACCTTTCACACTTGACTTTGATTCCTCCTCCATTGTCCTATAAAAATGATAAGAGTTACAGCTCATTCTAGTGTTAGTGACAATCATAAAAACTCCTTAAGGTGAACTAACTTCCTATGCCTGCTTATAAATTCATAGCTCTTTAATAAGGATAATTGAGCTCTGTAGTCTCAAGATCATGAGTTCATGGGAAACCCTTCCTGGATCCAGAAGGAAGGGAGTACTGCCTCCCACTGACCCTGGGGTCAAGGGAAGTCCACCAAACCAGCTCCATTATTTCAGCTGGCTGCAGGCTTTGCCTCCACTGGGATCCTTTCCGGGATCTGCGTTTGAAGCCTGGAATCCCCCGGCTTTTCAGACTGTTCAGGATTTGGTCTGATAGTCTTTTATTTATGTATTTTTACTTATTTTATTTTATTTTTTAAAGTTTATTTATTAGGCAATCTCTACACCCAATGTGGGGCTTGAACTCATGACCCCGAGATTAAGAGCCACATGCTTGGCTGACCGAGCCAGACAGGTGTACCTATTTATGTATCTTTAAAAAAAATTTCTAACCCTTTCTCTTGGGTCTTAGAATGTATGTTCCCCCTCCCCCCCCTTTTTTTTCCTGGACAGGTTGGTCAGAAATACCAGACTGAAGAATCTAGATTTCTCAATTTCTTAGGAATCTTTTCCTGCTGTCAGGCTAAAATATTCCCTTCTGTTGTGGTGATGGTGGTGTTTTTTTGTTTTTGTTTTTTTTTGAGCCAAAATTATGTGCATTTCTAGTGGAAAACACTATAGCCAAGCCTTCCTAGTTGTTTCTTTCTAGAAATTTTAATATATTAATTTTAACTATTGACCTCAAATCTTAGTGCCCTGGGAATAATAGCTGAGTAATTCATACTTGCTACTTAATAAAATACAACCTGATCTAAGTATCCAGAAGAAATTCAACATAAACATCTCTTTCTCCGGAGTGATGATTGCTCACAGAACCCTGAGGTATAGGAATGCACCCACAAAAACTCGATGCTCTTTTCGTCCTCTTTCCATGAAAGTCTTTGCCTTACCCCTCACTCTCTCCCTCCAGGAGCTGGTGGTAGGTGGCGATTTCCTTCTCTAGGTGGGTCTTGATGCCCAGGAGGACTTTGTATTCATTGTGCTGACGCTCCAGGTCATGGCGTAGCTGCATCAGTTCACCCTCGTAGTGGGAGATGATCCGTTGCATGTCCTGGAGCTGGCAGGAGTACCGAGACTGGGTTTCCGATAACATGTTCTCTAAAGCAGATTTCTGAAAGAGGAAATGATATTTCTTCTATTAATTGACTGACAGCTTGATTGCTTCAATAATGTGGGCTTGTTGAGTAGTTAGAATATACCAACCACTCTGCTAGGTGTCTTGGTGGCTGCTGGGGTGCAAAGGTGGGCAGCTGGCTGACTCAGAGGTTTGGAGCTTGGGCAGTGAGGAGTGGACGAGAGTCAGGACTTTTGAAGCCCATTTTCTGGGCATTTCTTTGTGTTGGGGAGCTCTTTGCAACTTCACTACGTTCCTGCAGTGTTTATTGTATATGCGACTCATTTGGGATTGGGCGTATGGTGCCTTGCCCCCATCTGTTCCTTACCTCCTCATGCTTACATTTAGTCTGTGGCCAGATGGAAAACTCCTGGGGGAAACAGTAACTGGACTGCTGTCTCTTTGTATCTTCAGAGAAGGGTCTCAAGTAGGAGTGCCAGATAAAATAGCACCTATTTCCTTTGAATTTCAGGCAAGCAATGAGTAATTTTTTAGTACAATATGTCCTAAAAATTGCCTCAATATTGCATGGGACATACTTATACGAAGAAAAGCTTTGTTTTGTATCTGAAATTCAAATTTAACCGGATGACCTATATTTTAATTTGGTCAATCTGGCAACCATAGTCCCAAGCAAAGCTTGTTGATTATGACAGTGGTAACAAGTTGTCGTTATTGAGGAAATTCTAAAAGCTGCGCAATGAAGTTGCTACACTAGGATACAGAGAAGTGAGTTCCAGTCCCTGTTCTTTGGATTTCCCACCTGCTTTTCTGGAGCGCATAATTTTAATCCTCATGAGAAACTCATGACTGTGTTGGATACTCTCACTTGATGATGGCTGTTAACTTTCAGGGGGCACTTAACGTTGCCTGGCCTGTGCTCATCACTCTCCTGTTCTCCGAAAGAGCTACTGCATTCCTTCTCCTCTGTCCTCAGATCCCCTCCTCACTCTCCTTTCTCTCAGCCCATGGCCTTGCTTCTTGTGTTATGGAGGAAATGAAAGCCATCAGAAGAAGATTCCCACAGGCTCCCACTATTACTTCCACATACATGAACCTGTGTTCTTGTTTCCCTCCTGTGACTGTGCATGAGCTGTCTCTGCTCCAGTCGTTTTAGCAACTGCCCACCTTCTTGCTTCATTAATATTTTCCTCTCTACCAGATTCTTCCCATCGGCTTTCAAATAGAATAATTTCTCCCACTTTAAAATTTTTCTCTCTTGAATCCATATCTACCCTCAGTTGTCATCCACTTTCTCTGCTCTCCTTCACCTACAGCAAAGCTCCTCAAAGAGTTGTCCATACCCGCTGTTCCAAATTCCTCTGGACTTCCTTCCAAGGGGGCAAGGCTACACAGTCTGACTCCATCATTACCCCAAGGGCCTCCCCTTCCCTTCCGTCTTCTTCTTACCTTTCTTCTCTTTGTTCGCTCACCACAGACACATTGGCTTCTCTGCTGTTCCTCCAACCCATCCAACACACCTGTGCCCCATGGCTTTTGCCTTTGTTTTTCCCTCCACCTGGAGCCCCCTCTCCATGGCCACATAATGCACCTCTTTACCACTTCCAGGTTTTTGCTCAACTGTCACCTTAACAGTAAAACCTTTCCTGACCCCCTTGTTTAAAACGGCAGCTCCACATTCCAGAATGCCTGACCTCCCCACTCCATGCTTCATTTCTTGGTAACCCATTTCTCCATCTCACATGTTATATACTTTGATGATCTGTCATCCACACTAAAATGTCAACTCCCTTATTATAAAGTCCTTAGTACTTAGAATAATGTCAGATAGTAGAATGCACGAAAATGAATGTGAACGTCTTGCTGACCTCACAAGGTTGTTGTGAAATACTATATGTCCAAATGTTTTGAAAACCATAAAACACTATAATTATTTCTGTGCTCATTATTATCATCTTGACAGTGTACGTTTTAAATGTCTGTTCACCATCGCTTATTCCTAAAACATAACAGTAATTTACCATGTGTACCTGCCAACAGAATGAACCAATTATTTCTCCTCAAGATCAAGGGCAGAGTGGCACTTGGAAATGATATTGATGAATGATTAGAAGATTCAGATAGGCTACAGAGGGAATCAAATGACAGATTTCATTTAATGAATTTTGAGTGCTTGTGACACTCACACAAAGCATTTTACTAAAAACCATGAAAATAATAGAAATGGCATATATATAAGAATTTATAGTTTACTGGGTGATAAGACATCTACATGATGGACACAGCAGTACTTTGGTGTCAGCTGGGCCTGGATTTGCCATCAATTCATGTTGACACCAGAATTTCTTTGTATTGGGGCTTAAGGGGGCAGCCTGGTTGTAAGTGAGGAGAGTACTGGTAGAGATTATGAGGGCCTACCAGACCCTCACACCTCTCCTCAAGCACCAGGTGGCTTTACCACTGGCCATGTACTATCTGTGTGACCTTGGCCAATTTACTTAACGGTCTGGAGCTTTGGTTTCCTCATCTCTAAAGTGAGAACATGAAGACCTACCTGGAAAGTTTAACATGAGGATTAACGGCAGCTAACATAACGAACCCCCTGGCATACAATGTGGCACAATGTGGACACCTCAATAAATGATAGCACTTATTGTCTTTCTCACCATGAACAATTTGGACGGAAAGTGGGAACTCCCAAGTGAGTTGGGGAGAGGAGCCCAGGAGAGAGGTCAAGAGAGGCTTTGTGGAGGACATGGTACCTGACCCTAGCTCAGACTCACCCTGTTGCGCTGTGCCTGCAGGTCGATCTCCAGGGCCTGGAAAGTTCGCTTCAGCTCATGGATGTCACTTTGACTGCTCTGAACAGCTGCTGGACTGGCCACCTCCTGGGCCATGGTGGTTGACTAGGAGACCAAGCAAAGGACAGAAGCATTTGCATTTGGGACCACATGGAAATGGAACCTTTGGGGAGTCTGAGCTCCTTTCCTTTACCTGTTCTTTATACCAAGTGTCCAAGTCTTGATGCTTCTTCTTTATTATAACCTCATATTCCTGTCTCATATCCTCCAGAACCTTAATCAGATCTTCTCCTGGAGTTGTATCCACCTTCACACTGACCTTGAAGTCATTCGGTACATGATGTTCCTCCATTTCCTGTTTAATAACAGAGAAAGAAAATGAATTGGCTGTGATAATCAGAAGGCCAGAGGTGTGTTGATTGATTGGCAGCAGTTAACAGATCTTTTAAAAATTCAGCTTTTGTGGTTGTTGTTCTTTTACTGGTGTGGTTTGGTTTCTCAGTTATTATTTGTTGCTGGCAAAACATTGTATGTTTTTTTCTATTATAACTTTATAAAATAAAAAATAGCACTAGATAGGTAATCAAATGGCCTCTGTGATTACTGACTTAATCCCTGGTTGAAAATGTTTCACAAAGAATTATGCTTCCATAGCATGTAATGTACTCTTCAGCACATGTTCATGGGTGAAGTGATGGCACAATTCAACAGTTAAACATTTTAGGTTAGAGGCTAAAGCTTTTGGGAAGCAGTTCAGCAACCCAAAGCCAAAAGTATAAAGACTTCTTTATATCTTGTCAATGCATTATGACTCTGTAGGCTGGACACCCATAGGATATCATGAAAATCAAAAGGGGTGTCTGGGTGGCTCAGTTGGTTAAGCATCTGCCTTTGGCTCAGGTCGTGATCCTAGGCTCTTGGGATTGAGCCCTGAGTTCTCCCTCTCCTTCCCACTCATGCTCTCTCGCTATCTCTGTCGCTATCCCTCTCTCTCTCTCTCTCTCAAATAAATAAAATCTCAAAAAAAAAAAAGAAAATCAAGAAATCGTAGGAAAAGTTTAATTAACAATCATTGTCTAACCAATTGTTCAGAATTGAGGCTTTTTGATGTTCATAAGCAATTTTGTTTGCCTAAAATGGGGATTGCTTTTCTCTTATTGCATCAGAGTCTCGGGGACTTTAGATGGATGGTAACTTTTTCCTTTCCCCCTCCTTTTTTTTTTTAAGATTTTATTTATTTATTTGACAGAGAGAGAGAGAACGAGAGCAGGAACACAAGCAGGAGGAGTGGGAGAGGGAGAAGCAGGCTTCCCGCGGAGCAGGGAGCCCGACGCTGGGATCATGACCTGAGCCGAAGGCAGACGCTTAATGACTGAGCCACCCAGGCGCCCCTGGATGGTAACTTTTTCAAAGTCAGTTAAATGCTTATGGAAATTAAGATTCTTCATTTTTGCCACAGTTTTATTTACCTTGGTTAGTGGCAAATTCTCTTATTCTACTGTCCCCCAATTTGCTGCACATTGGACCCATGAAGGAAGTTCAATCTCATGCATTTATTCTTACAGTATCATATTAACAAACAAGTCTAGGTAAACATTGTATATTAGCAAAATTGTTGATGGATTCATCATTAATTGTGATTATATTTTGGCTGTTGGATTTGACACTGAATAGATAACCTTGAAGCTGGAAAAATTAGATGTTTATATGGTTCCTTATAATTACTTAGGTTGAAGGACACTAAGGACTGGCATTCAGATAGTGGTTTCTTCTGGGCTATTGAATCATCTGAATGTGCAGATTAAGAGCTGTGCTGGTTACCAGGAGCTCCTGGGGAGTCCTACCTGCTCATGTCGCTTCTTCATGAGGATGAGCTCTTTCCTCATCCCCTCAACCTCCTGTTCCAGATCTGTTGTGACAATGGTCAGATCATCCAAGGTCTTTCGGAGACCTTCAACTTCAATTTCCAGATCTTTCTTGAAGGAGTGTTCATTTTCATACCTTTTGTTGGAAGGAAGAGAAGAATACACCTGTTGTTGGAAGGCTATGGCCTTGTAAGGATTCACCTTAGTTTAGAGGTGAATCTTTTACTTTTTAGGTTTAGTAGGAACAAACGAATACATGCATCCCTCATATGTCTGTTTCACGCAGGTTTTTCTGATGGTGACTCAATGTTGTTGTTGTTGTTTTTTAAACAGAGAGGACTGTTTACTAGTAAACAGTCATATGCCCATTGCTTAGACTTAGTAACTGTTAACATTTTGCTTCATCTATACTCTGTTTTGTATTTTAAACTATAGACATTATGACATTTCACCCCTAAATACTTAGGAATGATACATCATTTAAAAACAAGAATTTTTGTTAAGAATGAAGCAAGATGGGGACACCTGGGTGGCTCAGTTGGTTAAGCGTCTGACTCTTGGTTTTGGCTTGGGTCATGATCTCAGGGTCGTGAGATTGAGCCCCAAGTTGAGCTCCATGCTCAGTGCAGAGTCTGCTTGGGATTCTCACTTTCCCTCTCCCTCTGCACTTCCCTGCTGCATGCTCTCTCTCTCTTTCAAATAAATAAATAAATCTTAAAAAAAGAATGAAGGAAAATGTTAACAGCGGTTAAATCTAAGTGATGGGCATACTCTTAACTATGGAGAACAAACTGATGGTTACCTGAGGGGAGATGGGTAGGGGGATGGGGAAACAGGTGATGGGGATTAAGGAGTGCACTTGTGGTGATGAGCACTGGGTGATGTATGGAAGTGTTGAATCACTATATTGTACACCTGAAAGGAATATGACACACTGTATGTTAACTATACTGGAATTAAAATAAAATAAGAAAAAAATAAAAACAGGAGTTTTCTAAATAAGCATAATAACATTATCACACCTACAGAGCTAGTAATAACTCTCTAATATCATCTAATTCTTGGTTCATATTCAAATTTCCCCATGCTACAAGGTGTATTTTATATCTAGTTTGTTTAAAGTAGGGTCCGTTCAAGTATTTGCTCATATTATGCTTTTTGATTATATTTTGTAAAGGTATTACATGTGGCTAATGTTGAAATAATTTTCCTTTAGCAAAACAAAAACAAGAGGAACCTCCAAAACAAACAAAAACAGCAAATGAAAACTCCCAACAATAGGGTGAAGAAGCAACTTACTTGAGGCTGAAGTCATCCACCGCCATCCTAGCATTGTCAATGAGAAGAATGATCTGAGCATTGGTCATCTTGCTGTCCATGACCTATAAAACACACATCAAGAGTCATTTAAGTCAGACACCCTCCCATGGGAGAGCTGCATTTCCGAAAACTGTATCTTCTGGGTATATGACTTGTTAGCATAGATGACTTCTTTTCTGGCAGTGGAACAACAAATAATCAAATCAGTAAATACTGAGCACTTACTAGGTACAAAGCATCAGAATGGTTTTTAAAGTAAGAACATGGTCTGCAGCCACTTCATTGTCTTTGTTCACACTGAGTTTGACAGGCTAGGATTGGTGACGTTGCTGAAAGAATGACATTGGAAGGGGAAGGAGAATCATCGTTCAAAGTGCCTTCTGGCTTTCTAGTGCTGCGAACATAGCTTAGTGTTTTGTTTTAGTTCATCCACATCTGATGATGTTACAAGAGTTTTAAGTTCTAATCCCGTTTTCATTGTGACTATTAGTTTGGCTCTCTTAGAGCTCAGTAGTTATTTTCGATGAACATAATTCTTCCTTGTGGTAGCATTCGTGTTTCTGATCAGTGATACTGAGCAAAGTATCAAAATATCACTGATACTAGTTTGTCAAACTGATTTTAAATGAATTTTATAAGAGTCATCACATACCATAATTATTTTTTGTCTGAAGTGACTATAACCATTCACATAACTTGTAGGTATGTGTATGTGTTTGTAAATTATTCCATGATGAGAATGCCCTAATTGTAGCTATTGAAATATTAACTGAAGTAACTTTTTGGCAGCTTAATAAACTTTAACTGTGGTAAAGCCTCTGGTTAAGACTTTTACTAGATGTTTATATAGTTTTAACCTTAAAATGAAAAATATTGTTGAAAGTTTCTACTTGAGCAATTGTATTTATGTATATGATTTGTAAATTCTTCTAGGTGGTTATAACCAGAGTAGTGCACATTTGATATATGTCACTGTCTTCAGGAAAATTGGGTGGAAGATGTCTCAACATCAAAAGTATAATACTACTTTACTTTTGTGCCAAGTCATGCTGAACTAGGAACTGGAGATTTTCTTTTTTACTTCCTGTTACTGACCATTGGCATGAACGTGGGCCAGTCACCCTGTTCCCTGGGTTTCGATTTCATCATCTGTTAAATAAGGAGTGTGTAGTAGAAACTACTAGAGATTCTAGCTCTAAACTTCGTGATTTAGTTGGAGGTAGAGAATCCTGTGACATTTCCATTGTATTTGAACAGATAATTCCTTTATTTAGAAAGGATTTCCTTAGGACAAAGTTATACCTCAATACAAAGGCACCTTTTAAAGATCTGCTCCTATTCAAAGCTTCACTGATTACTTGGAATTTGGTATCATGAATGCACAATAGCAGGATTCAGAGGTGGTAATAACACTGGGTCTGGAACTCCTTAAAGGGCAGAGCCTGGGGTCTTGATATTGCACCTACTAGCTGAGTGAGCTTATTGAGTCTCAGTTTCTTCATCCATAAAATGGCAATAGTAATAATAATAGTAGCCACTTCATCAGAGAGTTATGAGAATTAGATTAGAAGAGGTTAAACACAATAATGTAACATACTTAGCATATTCTGGGCACGCTGTAGACACTCTGAAAGATTAGTTGAAACTATACTAATCTAGAAAAATGTAAAGGTTTAATTTTCTTTTATAAAAGAACTTTTGAGAAGACATATAGATGGCCAAAAGACACATGAAAAGATGTTCAACATCACTCATCTTCAGGGAAATGCAAATGAAAATCACGATAAGGTAACACCTCACACCAGTCAGAATTGGCTAGTATCAAAAAGACAAGATATAATAAGTGTTGGAGAGGATATGGGGAAAAGGGAACCCTTGTACATTCTTGGTGGGAATGTAAATTGTTACAGCCACTGTGGAAAACAGTATGGAGGCTCCTCAAAAAATTAGAACTGCCATATGACCCAGTAATTCCACTTCTGGGTATTTACCTGAAGAAAAAAACCCCACCAATTTGAAAAGATATATGCACCTCTATGTTCATTGCAGCATTATTTTTAGGAGCCAAGATATGGAACCAACTTAAGTGTCCATCGATAGATGAATGGATACAGAAGATGTGCTATATATACATACAATGGAATCCTACAGAGCCATAAAAAGAATGAGATCCTACCATCTGCAACCACATGGATGGACCTAGAGGGTATATACTAGTTGAAATAAGTCAGACAGAAAAATACCATAGAAATAAGAAACAAGTCAGAAAGACAAATACCGTATGATTTCACTTATATGTGGCATCTAAAAAACAAAGGAAATGGACAAACAGAAATGGACTCATAAATGCAGGGAACAAACTGGCGGTTGCCAGAGGAATAGGGGAGGGGAGTGGGTGAAATTGGTAAATGGGATTAAGAGATGCAAACTTCCAGTTATAAAATAAATGAGGCACGGGAATGAAAAGTACAGTATAGGGACTATATTAAAAAAAAGAAAAGAAAAAAGCCAGCACTATCATAATTAGAGCCAATGTCCATCCCGGATAAATCCCAGGTCCTGTATGTTGAGATGCATCCTCAAACTTCTGCTATTCGTGGTAGGAGATAACCAGGCTGCTGCCCAACTCCTTTCTTCCCTTGGTGGAGTCCAAAAGGTACTATGACTACTTCCTTTGCTCTAAAAAAGGATTCTGTAGATATTTCCTTGTCTCCCCACTGTGGTGCTGCTTAGGGACTTTCATACCAATGCTTTTCCTTCCAGGCTCTACATTCCTTCCGTTATCTAAGCTCATCGGAAATGAAAAGTAGCTCCATCCACGAAAGCCTGGGGACCCTGTGCACCGAGGTGTTGATTGACATCCAGAGAAACCAAACAGTATTCCCTCCATGGAATCAGAAAAATAAAAAATACAATCTGTGGGCTTATTTGGCTCTTCTGAGTTAAATTGGTAATTTATCTGTTGCAAAACCCACATCAAGAATCTGATTCCCCCAGTTAGCATTCTTCTTAGAGTTCATGAATGGTGAGTTCTGAAATGCACTTGATATAGAGCACATTTAAAAACCAAAATGGGGGCGCCTGGGTGGCTCAGTCGTTGGGCATCTTCCTTTGGGTCGGGTCATGATCCTAGGGTCCTGGGATCAAGCCCCGCAAGGGGCTTCCTGCTCAGCGGGAAGCCTGCTTCTCCCTCTCCCACTCCCCCTGCTTGTGTTCCCTCTCTTGCTATGTATCTCTCTGTCAAATAAATAAATAAATAAAATCTTAAAAAAATATAAAAACCAAGACGATTTCCCCTGTTCAGGCTTACTTGATGCAATATTATGATACAGCCACTCTTTCTGAGACATCCTTCACAGTAATGAATGGATGATGAGGAAGGGTTGGGAAATAATTTGTGAAGCCTAGGTTTTGCATTGTGTGTTGTAATTAATCACCTGGATTCTCCCGCAAGGCTCTGAGTTCATTCTTTTAAAAAACCCAAGTTGGTGTTTTAGTATAACGTTGTTGCTCCGGGATATGTAATCTCGTTCCAGGAAGAAGAAAATGGAATTTTTTTTTTTATCATAAACCACAGTGCCAAAATATGGTACTATTGAGAGCCATTCTAAAATACGCATATCCTTATGACTAAGTCCAACTTGGTGTTGCAAGGATTGGATTAATTTTTGAACTCATTTTCTTACAGTTTTTTTGAGTAACATTTAAGATCCCTAAGATGGGGGTAGAAGAATGCTACTACTGATAGCATTTCATCAAGGCCTGGGAAGGGGTCAACCCCTGGTTGTTGTGGGTTGTTGCATTCCTGGGCCTCTATTTTCTTGCCTGTGAGCGGGGGAGGTCAGGACACATAGAACAACCTCAACTTCAAAGAATTGTTTTTTTCAAACAGAAAAACATACAACTAAAATAAGTAATCCAGAAAAGAGTGGAATTCAAACCTGAACTTAATTTATAACCCAGAATTTAAAGTCAGAACCCAGAATCCCAGGCTTAGAGAATGGGCTTGGAGAATGGGCAAGCCACCCCCTCCTTGGCATTGACCCCACTCCACTTTTCTCAGTTCTGTTCCAGAGAATTTGGGCAACCACTCAGTCCCAGTCTCCTCATCTATAAATGGGGGGTAAGAATACTTGCTTCACAACATGAGATAATGTGTATGAACTGTGTGTCGTATGATTAACAATGCAACCATAATGCATTATTTCTACTAACAAGCAGTACCGTTTTTGTAGGAGATAGGCTAGTGCGCACCATGCTGTATGGAAACTGTGAGGCCATTAGAAACAGACCTGGGTTAGAATCCTATGTCTGCCTCTTGCTGGTGGCTTTTGGTGGCTACTTCACCTCTCTGAGCTTCAGTCTCTTTACAGGGTCATTGTAAGAATTGGATCAGGTAACATCAAATGTTTCTATCAGTGCATAAAGCTCTTGGATGGTACTGATTTGTGTATTAAAATATCCAACATGAAGGTTGGCATACAATAAGGGCTCAATAATGTTTTCTTCCCCCTTCCCTCCTTCTCTCTGCTGTCAGTGAGTTATTTGACCATGTCTGACCTCATGTTTCTTTTGGGAGTTAGGTTCTCAGCTGTCCATTTGCAAAAATCTTCTATTCTCTCCATTCTAAAGCAAAAGCAACTTTATTAATGAAAAAATATGATGAGGTTTGTTGAGTCACCTTGTTTTTTTTTTGTAAAGACAACCATGTACTATATAGTTAGGGTAATTACACAGTCAGTTATTAGGTTGATTATTCAATAATTAGGGTTCATTATGAGGACAGATTTATATTATCTTGATTGGTCTTTCCTACATTCAAGCAAGGACGACTGAGGGTTGAGAAATCATACCGTATAAATATTGGAAACCCGTGATGCCCTTTCTAGGATGGGTAAAATCATGATCTTACAGGGAATTTTTTGGGACCAATTTACATAAAAGGGAAGTTACATAGCTTTAAAAAATAATTTATGAGCTGACTGTATTCCCTCCACTTCTAACCAATGTTGTGTGATGTCCCAGAAGGTATAAGGTCAGCTTTTTTAAATGTTCAGTTGAAAATTTTTTGTGTGTTTTAAAGAAGTCTCCATAACCTATTCTAACTCTAAGAGTCCAAAAATTATGCTCATTTTATTTTTTATTCCAGCAATATGCCCTTTCAGAACTGGGAGCAGCAAGAACTCAGAACTTCTAGCAGCCCTCCAGAAGAAATATCCAGGAATGTCAGAATGATGTATCTGCTCTTGGAGTGACAGCCTTCAGGTATGATCTCCAAAATAGTGTAACCCACCAGCCTTTCTTTCTGTGGGTAATCAAACTGTGGCCAGGACTTTTGAGGTAGAGCAGAAATAATGTAATGAGAAAGTAAATGCTCTTTTGTGCCTCTTGTGATCTGAGCATGAGGAATGAATACTGGCCCTTATCATTACTGTAACATTCCTGGATCATAAGTGATATCAGACAGCAGATGGTTGCCTTACATTTTTTGGATTTTCCATATAATTTATATAGAGAGGACAAAATACACAAAACAGGCTTTCCCGAGTCTGAAAGGTATAACAAGAAAATATCCTCAAATACTTTTGTTCACAATTACTTTAAGCTCTTTTGCCATTTTCCTGGAAATTGTCTTTTGTACCAATTTCTCCTCCCATGGCTCTCTGGAAATGCAGCCCCCTCTTGAGTTCCAGGGTCACCCATGATCTTACCTGCTCCTGCAGGTGGCTGATGTTTTCCTCATACTGGGTGTAATTTTGCTTACTGCCAGGATCTCTCTGCTCGTGCCACTTCAAGATGCGACTTTCGAGCTTCTCGTTGGCCTCCTCCAGGGCACGCACCTTGTCCAGGTAGGAAGCCAGGCGGTCGTTGAGGTTCTGCATCACCTCCTTCCCACTTGCAGCTGGGAAGGAATTGCCTTTTCTAGGTCCCCAAGGACCTCCGGGAGGCAGGCAGCTTGGTGAGCTGAAGGAAAGGGAGATGCGGACACCCCCGGCCCCCCCATGGACGCTGGGAGCCCGAGGGAAGCTCCCCAGCTGGTCCCAGCTGCCTCCCGTGCCATGGAAGGAGCCGGAGGGGGTCTGGCTAAAGTTGTGGCTGGAGTTCATGGTCCCATCTGTGTTTGGTGCAGGGCTGGGCTCTGCTCTGCTCCCTGGCACTGTAGAACTGGGCCGCCCCAGACTGCCCTGGATGGTTTTATGCCCTTCGCTGTGGGAGTTCCCTGACAACTGTACCAACAAGATCGTATCATTGTGCAACAGGTGTTTCCTCTTGGTCAATCCCAAAGTGCCCCTGGGCCTTCACACACATTGTTGTTGTTTAGAGCCACATCAATATACCAGTTTGCTTCTCCCTTCTCATTGTAACCGGGAGGTGTGGCCCATGACATGAGGTGGGTATTAGTCTCAGGTGTCTTTCTAATCTTTCTGTGGAATTTTTCCTTTGACCATTTATCTGAAAAGGATCAGACTGAAGTTTACAAAAAGGTTATTCGGTATAGTACAGGTTTCCTTTTAAAAAAGTAGACATTAACCACACAGACACACATGCCTTCCCCCACCCCAAATAAACAAACTGCAGCTTTAAAGCTCGGGTGGGAGAGACTCCCCAGGGAAGAGCCAGATCAGAATCTCAGGTCCAAGAATAAAAATACTCATGCTGAGGAGCTGGAGAATGTTCTGAATATCTGATGTCTTTGTGGCAGTTACTGTTTGATGGAAAGTAATTTCAAAGGATCATTCTTAAGAACAACCCCTCAATTATAATTAATTAATTAATGACCGAGCCTTCCACTTCCAGGGTGCCTTTCATCCCCAGCACACCTCAAAACCAAACAACCCAGCCTGCACCAGGACTTCCTTGGCCCCTGGGAAGAATTTGGCCTTTGGTAACTGGCCAGCAGCCCTGTCCCGGCTGAGCCCTGAAAAGGTTGGCTTCTGTGTCTCTGCGAGCTGCAGGGGGATGGAAGGACGCAGGACTTGTGCCGTGGGTTGTCTAACGTGCTTGGTTAATCTTATGCTTCATCTGCCAAGGTAAAGGTTAGAAATGAATAAAGAAATAGTCTGGGGGTGGGGAGCCACGTGCTGGTTACTAGCAATTAGACTTAAAGGGGACTTTGAAATAAAATGGCAACATTGGAAGGGACTTTAGTGTACCTCCATCCAAACCACTAATTTTGCAGATGTGGAAAACTGGCCTGGGTGGAGGGGTTGGTGGGGGTGGCAGAGGACAGATTGTGGGTTGGAGGCAAAGCCACAGTGGGATTCTTTCCACCACACAGCGTTGTCATTCATTGAGTTGAATCTTGACAGAGTCCTGTAAAGATTCTCTTCCATCATGGTGGTAATGGGACTTCCCAGGTTACACAGCCCTTTGATGGTCTTTATTAAATGTGCATGACCACTCTTGAGGTAGCCATGCAAGGGTTATTGTCCCCATTTTACAGAGAGAGAATCAGGGGCTCATGGAGGTGACTGATTCAGAGCTGATTTGCATGTGCAACGTAATTCAGCACACGAATTTGTAGGTGTCAGTGCCTTGGTCTGTGCTGTTTCCACTGCTGGACACTCACTGCCTGCCTGCCCGCACCTGCTCCCCTGACTTCCAGATGTAGTTCAAGGGTTACCTCCTTCCACGATTGTTTACTGAATTTTCCTGCACGAGTTGGGTGCCCCTTCTATGAAGAAACCACCTTTTCTGGATCCTAAGACCCTCCGGAGGGGCAGACAGCTTAGTATTCCCACCGCACTGTGGAAACTGGGAGCCCCTCAACTGGGCCCAGCCGCCTCCCTGGACCTGACTCCACCCCTGTTCTTAGACTCATCACTCTGCATTTGTCACACTCCTCTGGGACCGCAGGCATCTTGAAAGCTGGGATTATGTCTTCCATCTCTGAAACACCAGAGTCTGGCTTCTTCTTTTTTTTTTTTTTTTTTAAGATTTTATTTATTTATTTGAGAGAGAGAGCACGAGCACAAGCGGGGTGAAGGGCAGAGGGAGAAGCAGACTTCCCACTGAGCAGGGAGCCCAATGAGGGACTCAATCCCAGGACCCTGGAATCATGACCTGAGCCGAAGGCAGACACTCCAACTGACTGAACCACCCAGGCGCCCCAGAGTCTGGCTTCTTATAGGCATTTCATAAATGTGTGTTAACTCAGTAATGAACTTTTTAGAGTTAGGATTTTAACTCTGCTCCTCTGAAGTCATCACCTCCTGCCCCTTTGGGAAGTGTGAGTTGTAAAATCAGATAGTAAGAAAATGCCTCTCCAAGGGATGAACAAACCAGCCATAAAGGCAACCTCATTCCTAATTACAAATAAAATTACCTAAAGCACACCAGCTCTGCTTGTCCACCCTGACAACAAAACCTTGCAAAAGTCCTCTGGAATTTCTTCATCTCACTCCACAGTGAGATAAATTTTTCCAAGATGGAAAAATTTAATCAAGTCTAAAGGAAGACTTGAGTGTTCTATGGCCACTTACATTTCTGAGCATGCGAAAGAGACAAAAGGGAAACAAGGCAAAAAGAGAGCAAATGAGGGATGCATAGAGACTTGTTTGGATGTGTGGTGGCAAGCAGTGCTCTGATGGACGTGGATGGTGCCTGATCTTTTATTTTGACTCAAGTTTTGGGTCAACTCTGGATTGTGTTCGCATGGACCCAGCCTCACAAATGACAACATCCATATGTAGGTTGTGTAAAGGGCCAGTCTGTGCGCCATCTCCTGAAACTCCCTCTCAGTGATTGGCAATGGGGATGATCACCTTCCTGCACTTTGCAGGCATGTCTGAAGTGGCAGTGACCTATTAGCCCCGTGAATTTGGCCCATGTGTCATTTTACATCAGTGTGTGGGAGTTTGGGTTTATGGGAGTTAACCTGGAGCAAAATACTTCTTGTATTATATATAGCAGGACCAGGTAAGGAAGAGTTGGTGGTACCATCTGAGAAGACGGGAGAGAAGTCACCTCTTCTAGAACTATTATGCAAAGGTTTTCCTTGTAGCTCCCAGTCTGTAGAGCTCCACTGGATTTTAAAAGGAATGGTGGATTTCTGTTTGTTTGTTGGTTGGTTGGTTGGTAAAAAATGATACATGCTTGTTATAAAAAATAATCAAGCAATACATGGAAGTATAAGAAAAAAGATTCTACCACACAGACAACCATTGGTAAATTAATGAACATTATTTCAGATACTCTCTATCTGTGTATATTGGTAGACATAGGGATGACTAGAATAATTTTAGAAAAATGAACTCATACAGTTTATTCTATTTTAGAAGAATTAAATTTTAAAAAATTTAGTTGACGAGTAAGCTGAAATGAATTCACTTTAGTTAACATGTTTTCTATAGGACTTTTAGACTTTCATCACATTCTTTTTACATTTTTTTTTAAAAAAGATTTTATTTATTTATTTGACAGAGAGGCTAGAGATGGTGAGAAAGAGAGCATAAGCAGGGGGAGCTGCAGGCAGAGGGAGAGGGAGAAGCAGGCTCCCTGCTGAGCAAGAAGCCCAATGTGGGGCTCGATTCCAGGACCCCGGGATCATGACCTGAGCCAAAGGCAGCCGCTTAACTGACTGACCCACCCAGGTGCCTCCCTTTTTACAATTTTTAATGAGAATAAAATGGCCTGTATATTTGTGGAATCACAGAGCTGGAAAGAAGGGCAAGAACAGGTCATTTGTTGCAGCTGTCTGCTTCTAGGTAGGTCCACCACAAGTTGCTGAGCTTATTTTTAAACTAATTTTTAAAGAACCCAAGGGATAAAGGCTCAATCGCCTTCTTAATAGATGCCCAACATTTATTCATCTTTTTGGTCAATGAGCATTTCACCTACAATCCAGTTTCATGATTTTTTAATTTTTTTTGTATTTCTATGGAGTTCAAACCGTTTGTAAATTATTATTCTTTGCATGACTTTACATGCAAAAGATTTGTGATTTTTGCATTTGGTTCATCTTTCTGATAAATTGAGATGTAGTCGCTAAAGGGGATGGATATTTTGCAGGAGAGCTTGGGCAGTGAGTGAGTGAAGGGGGTTGCATGTGGGCATATCAGGGATCAGAAGGGAGCCCGGGCAGCCATAGGCTGGCATTTACTGGGAACACAGTGTGTGTATGCCTTTTAAAGACAATCATTCCATCACTGAGACATTCCCTAGGCACCCTTTTCTTTAGAGTGAGAGAAGTACAGCCAGAACAATCCCCAAATAGATTTTAGACTCTGCATGGCATTTCAGAACAGATGAGTAGTAGATCTTTAGGCAAAATTGCTCTGTCATTATCCTGTGATTTGGAGGGCTACACAATAAGATTAGACATTTATAGAAATAAAACAGTCCCTGCTGTGGAGCCGGGCTGGACATTCTATAAGTACCTAAGTTTATCAAACTGTGGCCAAATAAAAATAAGATTTTTTCATATTTTGATTTTTCCAGGAAAAAGGGGCCAACAAGTAGGTTTAAGTGAAGAAGTATTCAGTATAGTATTCCAGACTAGGAGGGGAAGGCAAGCCAACTTAAGGTGCTTCCAAATAAGATGTGTATATATTGACTGACGTTAAGGAAAAATAATAAAAATACGCATAGGCAAAAAAAATGTCAAGATCATAGAAGGAAGTTTTCTCAAATGGTAGGAGATGAGACAACTGTGTTGGAAACTCTTCTTGATCTGATTTTGAAAAGCAGGAAAGAATTAGATGAGGATGCAGAGGTAGACGGAGCCTCATAAGTGACCACAAACAAAGAGCATGTGTGGCCTTATGGGCAGAGTTAGGAAATTTGAAGAGAAGAGATCAGAATAAAGAAAGAGAAAGCAGATTTCAATTCAATAAAATCTGGCCATAAGTATTTATTAGGATCTTACTCTGTATTAGCATATTCCTGGGCAACTTGGATATATAAGAATGTAAGAAGTGAAAGACACGTTTGGCACATTTACTGCACGTCAAGCAACTGCCTGGTTACCCCAGCACTTAATAGTAAGGAAGCTGAAAGGCCCAGGCTCTGGACTGCTCACCTTTAAGTCCTCAATACTATTTTCAGTTTATAGAAGGCTGTGGTAGGCCCTCCGAAAATGTTTATTAACCTTGGTCTTGGGAAGTTCCACTACTGCTCTATGGATTGCATCGAATAGACTACGTGAGATACAGATGAGAAGAAAAAGGAAGATGATGGTG